TACCCTTTCATTGTTGTCAAGCTTTATCCGTTTCGGGGCTTTTCTGAATGGCCCACTTTCTTTCTGACTGCCTCAGCTTTGGGTGTAGGTCATGCTGGATCAATGAAACAAGTTGTGGCTTCCCAGGTCTGAAACTGCAGAACAAGTATATAACCAGGTGTTTGTTTTCCTTTTGGGAACCAACGCCGTGACGCTTTCTTCCATTAAACTTCATGAAGCTAAAAAAGGCCGTAAAATAAACTTGTTTGGGGGGGTCCGCCGCGGACCCTGCGGACGCTTCTTCGCCACAAGGACTCCAAGGGCCATGACCGTGGAGGACGCGCGCGCCCGCGCGAGCGAACGTGTGGTCAGTGAACCCGTAGCCCAAGAGTTGGAAAGATGCGGACAAGGGGTTTGGGCTCGAGGGAAGCTGGACTAAGTCATACAGGTGTCCGTCATTAAGCCATGGCAGTAAGAAAGCCTCTTTCGAAAGAAAAGGGAAGAGATAAACAGGAGGGGAAAAAAGAAGAAGCAGAGTCACAGACACCACAAAGAAACACCATATCCTTCAACAATGCGAACGAGACAAATAGAAGGATTTTGTAGAGAAAAAGGCTATCACCACAAGGATAATTCGGGGGACAAGAAGCTAATTTACTTCGAGTGCGTTGGTGCACCACACCGAGCAGCAAAAGGACCAGATGCACAACATAGACCAGCAGAACGACAATCAAAACACAACATTGAACAAGAAGCGTGTGAACTGCAGCAGATGAAGCAAATGAAGCAAGATCTTGAGCAACTTGAGTCAACAGGAGCCAGCTCTTCTGATCAAGTTCGCAGTCAGCAGGAAGCAATGTCATTCCAAACAATTGATGGACCAACTTGATGGGCAATGTTACAGATGTGGCCAAGCGCTGCGGGCACGATGAAATAGATGACCTTAGGGTGCAAGATTTCACTCACGAACTTGTCCCAGAGCAGAAAGCGAGCAGACAGTGCCGATGATCCAATCCTGCTCGCATCATGTGGACGGCTCTGACCAGGTCAGAATCACAGACTGGCTTCTGTACAAAGCACTTTTGTACAAGACACGAAACAAAGAAGATGGATATTGCACTGCAGCAAAGAAGATCGCACTCTCACCAGTCACAGTTTTCACATTCTCAGACTCCGAGGGACGCACTCGGAGTCGCAACCATAAGAGGAACCGGGGAAGGGCCCACATGTGAACCTCTTATGCGTGCCGCTGCGTGCGCGCGTAGAACCGAGCCAGACGGGTGGCTAAAGCCTTCTTGCAACCGGATGTGGCTTTTCAAAGAGAGAGAGAGGCGATGAAAACCATTTAGCAGCAAGTCAGGCAGAAAAGCAAAGAATGGTTTCAACAGAAACTCGTTTACCACAAGCGAGAATGCAAAACCTGTTTTTCTGGACGAAAGGGGATATGCCAAACTATAAGAAGCTTCAACGTTTCCATCTCAGAACTAATCAGCAGATCAGAGCTGCCACTTTAAACGTTAGAGGGCTGCTACTGCTACGACGTGGCACGTAAAGAGCTTCACAACATTTCACAACCATTTGATCGAGCAGTTTAATGGAAACCGCAGTATCCACACGAAAGGGTTGTGGACGGCAGTGAAAGGTTTTTAGAAGTAATTTACACCGCGGTATGTACAGATGAAAAGCGAACATGGAAAGCATGTCCCTAAAATAGAGAGGGAGCAGACCATTGCCGATTGTCAAAACACTGTAACAACAACATTAACGCATATTACCGCTGGAATGATGGACGCTGTGGCAATCTCTTTGAATAGCGGGGCAAATGAAAGCGTACTCACAGTTGAGGAATTGAACGCAGCATTAAAGACATCAAAAAAAAGAAACCACAGGGCCCAATTCTTATATCAATTTTGTTGACACACACACACACACACACACTGAAACTATCTCCAGCAAATACGGACTGCGGCTAAACAAAGATTAGTCAGTGTGTGGTTTGGTCCATTATGAAGATAATGAGCCAGGTCCAAAGAAAATCGAAGTCAACAAGGAAACAAACATCAGACATGACCCTTTCAACCAAATGCATGAAGTAAGACAAACCTGATTCAAATTGCTGCTGTAGTATTTGTTGGAAGGCAACGCACGTGAACATGAAATGGCAACTGCTTATGTTTGCCGTCATTCGATCAACGTTGTTATATGATCATATATAGTTATATATGTGTATGGGTTTGAAACCATACACCTCACGAAAACCATGCTAAAGAAAGTTGATGCCTTCCAACTACGGTGCTTGAGGAGAATTGTCAAGGTTCAGTCAGCATTCATATAAACAGAAGGAATACAAACAGAGCACTTCTGAGTAGATTTACAGAGCTTGCATTGCATACCCAATCGAGGTGACAGGCGCACTTTCGACTTGTTCAGCCAATCCTATTTCCGTAGAAAACAACAACTATTGTGTCATATTAACGTAGTGCTAGCCACAACGATCCTATGCGTCAGATCCAGCCAAATGGTGCACTTCGAGTTCGAGGGAAACACGAGTTGGTTGCGGGAGACAGAGCTGGGTGCATGACGCGTTTTTTACACAGAGGTTGCGATATGCGGAAACCGCTGCTGAAGATGCACGAATTGACGATGCAGTCATGACTGGACTTTCTAGTTGGTGGTCAAGTATGCCACGCCCTGCATGCTTGTCAGTGCGGGGCACGGCTGGGAAAAAGAAAACACGCGCGCATGGGATCTGGCAGGTCCCCGTAATGGAGCGGTCGTGAAGTATCTATCGATCGGCGGAGTTCAAGGGCACACCTCGAGGTGTGCCTGTTTTTCAACAAGGAGGTGTTAAGCATCGGATGTTCCAAAACTGCATGTGACCATTGAACTCCATCGGAACATGACGCTTCAGAAGGTGGCCCCATAGGATCCACATCCCAGGGAGTTTGGGAGGTGTATGGATAAACAATTCATAAACATATTATAGTTTTTATATGGATATAAAAGTACATGCATGTATATATATATAGTATTATATATATATATATCGTGATGATCTACGGGTCGTTCATCAATTTTTTGATGCTCTCGATCCTCCAGGCGGTGGGCGCAGCGGCCGAGGCGGGAGACCGGGGTCGACCTGGGGGTCGACCTAAGGTCTCCGACTTTCTTCTGCCTAATAGATTCAACGTATTAGTTCTAATGTATTGCATAATATTGCATATCTCAAGATTCAAAGCTAGAAAAAATGGACCTGTCGAGATTGCCAATTCTTCGGTGGACCATTTCCTTCGCTTGACTTGGTGTTGTGCTTTCGTGCGGCCTCATTGAGGGATTTCTCGCAAAATCGAGCACTGAGCGGCTACGTGCACTCACATTCATAAAGTCGACCTGAGGACAAGTTCTCGTTTGGTCACCACATTTGCCTGACTATCCCTTGTTTGACATCCAAAATGGGTATCGGCAAAGTATATGGTTCTTCTAACACCACTCATGACCGCTTGATGATTTCTGTACGAAAGCTGGGTTCCACGTGCGTAGAACGAGGTCGCTCCTCTTTGGCCGATTGGCAAGAGAAGGACATTGAGGACGTGTTTTGGGGGGGGTGGAACGTGGGCTGCAGCGTGGATGTGGCCATTGGCCATTTCATCATGGGGTTTGCTGCGGAGGGAGGCTGGGAAGCGACTCATGATCGTCCGAAGTTCAATCAGATGACCAATGAGACCAGCTTGGTGGTTGGAAGCCACGGGGAGGTTCCAAGAGTTTGAGACCACGCATAAAGAGTCTTAGACGGAACAGCGTCAAGCAGCGTAAACGGACTGTTTGGGAACATCAAAAGCATCCCAAGCCGTTTGTGGTGTTGTGGTTGATGCGAAGTATATAGCGAGGTTCGAAGAAGTGGACATGCTGGGAGAGTTGTTCCCCACCTGTCAGGTGAGGTTTGTTAGATTTTATGTCAGCTGTCTGACCTCGTCCTCCTCCTCCTCCTTCTCGTCTGCGTCATCCTCAACCGCGAGCCTCGGCTCGTAGTGTTCCCGCCGGACCTCAACCGCGAGCTTCGGCTGGCAGTTTTCCCCGCTGGACCTCAACCGCGAGTCAGAAGATATGCCAGATAGAACGCCAGAAAGAATGTCAGAACATATGCAGAAGCTATGCCAGAATCTGCCAGAAAGAATGTCAGAAAGAATGTCAGGAGATATGCAAGAAAAATGTCAGAAGATATGCCAGAAAGCGTGCCAGAAGATATGCCAGAAAGAATGTCAGGAGATGTGTCAGAAAACATGCCGAAACAATGTTTCAATACATGCCAGAAACTTTGTTTGATTGAAATGTCATGATGGGGATCACCCGAAGTCTAAAATATTTTGTTTTTTATCTGCAAGATCGGGACAGCTGATTCCATGTCGATGGTGAGGCATGATTACTATTCGTTAACTGTGACTCCATCTTTGAGTGTGAAAAACTATAGACTGCACTGTAGTTCAACAAGACTGACCCAAAACAAACTTGACAAAGGCATGTTGTTCGGCGTTCTTTAAGGATGCGTGTTTGGTTTACGCAAACTGGATTGTACGGTTCACGCTTCCCAGCAAGGTTGGTCATCATCGGCCAGGTTGCAGTGTCGCCTGCCAGCAGATGCCAGCAGTTTGGATCTCTGTAGGGATGGATCTTGCTTGTGCCACAAACCTTTGATGATGCATGCAGCCGCTTGCAGCTTTGCTTGCCTCGACCAAGCAATTAAAGACAATCAAGAAACGGACATTGGAACACCAGGCCAGCTAACCTGGTACTGGTACCTGTGCGTGAATAAGCAGCGTGGGTCCTGCGTGGGAAGATGCAGCGGTGGGTGAATCTCCTACCCACCATGTAGACCTTCGATAAGAACAACATACTCTACCCCACCTGCCAGAATGTCCATCTGATGCCCATCTGCATCAGGAAGCCAAGTTTCTAACCTGTTGGTCATCGGAAGCAAAGGAACAGATTAGGACGATTGCAACTTCAATTGCGCTGTGCAAGCCATGTTTTTCCTTCGCGCTCTGCTCCTAGCTGCTGGCGCTGTGGGGTTTTCAACATGGCCATCTGTAAGTGCTGCTTGGCATTTGCCGAGGCCTTGGTCGATTTGCCCACCATCCACAAGTCCACAGCTGTCGTGGAAGAGCCCGGAAAGATACATGTTGTGTTGTACTGGAACGGAGTCTCCTAGACTCATCAAGGCTTTTCATTGCTGCCATCATGAAAAACACGTCTGCCTTCCCATACCTGGTCTGAGATTTTGTCGGTTACTCATGCCAAGGATCAAAACGGGGCCAAAACCTTCAAGAAGCAGCTGCATTCTTTGTAAAAGCATACGACCGGTTCAAGCAATATGTAGGCATAGAGTAATGAAGGACACCTATTGGCTGCACGACCTCTGTGGCTTTGACTTTTCCACTCGTCCCACTCCAGGCTGCAGACCTGTGTATCGAAGATGATCGAAGTTTTGGACTATATTTGACTTGTGTATCGAAGTCCTCTTTTAGCTTCTAGTTTCTAATTTTTAATATCATGGATTTCGATGTGTATCACCTCTGTGTGGTCGCGTAGCCATTTTTGGGTACACAAAAGAAGAATGTCCTACAACCACTGCTGACTGTGTGGCATGTTCGAAACACTCAGCACAGATCTCAATAGGGCCACGCTGAACCCTTTTTCAATCCTTTTCAAATGTGAGCCACACGGAAAGAACATCCGGTTCTCCACTTGAAAAAGTGGAGGCTTGGTCTCTCCGAGACTGAGCCTGTGCTCCTGGTTTTACAGCTGAACCGGGTTGAACCACATGGTTTTCCCAGCTCAATGTTGGGACTCAGGTCCAGATGGTCACTTACAAGAGAGGGCCTCTGCTGCTGGAGGCGCTGGCTCAAGTGGAGCAGCAAGAGTATCCAGGAGATCTTGAGGTGGCCTGCTTGCATTCGATACTTGAGTCTGTCAGACTGGGTCCATTGTTAAGGCATCTTGGAATCGCGTGGCGAGTTAGTTTGCCCCCTGTTTCGTTCCAAAACAATCTACTTAGTCAAGGTCGACCGGAGCGAACCGGACTTCCTAGCTTATTCTCTTGATTCCAAACGCACTTACAGTGCAGAAAAACCTGTTGAGTATTTGGACTTCATGGTCATCCAAGGGACCCTGCCATCCACGTCGTAGCCATGCTATTTTGAGGGAATGTTTGTTTCATCTTACATCTTTTTTGTGGTGCTGTGTGGTCTAACACATGGTCATCCCCGTTCTCGTGACTCAGGTGGTCATCGTAGATGACAGCCCGGAGAGCCAAGAAGAACAGCTGGACGCCTTGCTCCTTGGACTCCAAAAGCCTGGACCTAAACTCAAGGCTCTCCGGTGGATGCTGTCCTAAACTCAGGGACCAAGTAGACTGTTTGGTTGCAAAAATGGTGGCCTCCGTCGAGTGACAAACAAGGACAAAAGTAGGTCAATTAGCAGATGCCCTGTGTTCCTAGTAGCGTCCCTGCTCCTAGTAGCGATGCCAGGAGCCCCCAGTAGCGTCCTTGCTCTCGGCAGCGATGCCAGGAGCTCCTAGCAGCGTCTTTGCTCCTAGGACCTAGGTCAATTAGCAAACCAAAATCCTGGAATGTGCTCCCTGCGAAATTCTCCCGTGAGAGTGCAAGGACTCCACTTGAGCCATGCAGAGATGCGCAGCGATTTCGTTCGATTGGGCACAATGCCCAACCCTGCTCTTTTGACAGAACATTTGCCGGGTGAGCATGTTTCCTAGATTCAACCAACCCCATGCCATATTCCAACTGTTTTTAATTCAATATTACTAATCCACTTGGCCCGAGAAAACATAGCCAGTGTAGAGTAACAGTGGTCATCAATCTGAACAACCCATCTGTGTGGGAAGGACCATATCTATACCTGGCCCATACCCCCACAGTGTTGTCAGGAAGGAATCCTTGGCGATCAGATACATCTTCTTGCCAGAACGAATGAGTCACTTGGCCCCGTGGTGGAGGGACAGACAACATCGGTCCCCATCGGTCTCCAAACGACGTCTTCACGTTCTGTAGCCATCCGAGTTGCTTTCAACCTTTTTTTCGGTTCGTTCTTGTTTGAACAGTTCTTTTCACTCTTCCTTTCTTCGCGTCTTCTTCTTTCCTCCTTGTCAATCTTGCATTGTAGTACCATTTGTGTCGTGGACCAATTGGTTTGTCACCAATACTGCCAATACTGCACGAAGTTGGGTTCCAACAGTATAATCGCACATTTTCACCAGCCTCGAACAAAGACACCAAGTTTGCACCTTATCTTCAAGACAACCGCTTTGGATAGGCCTTCAAGTCGAAGACAACCCGTTCCGGACAACCGGAGACACGACCATCGGGTTGAGGAAGTCGAGTTGTTGTGGAGAAACTGAGTAATTATATTACTGGTTTGGGCCACTGACGCAGAGTTGAGAAGGACCACCGAGTTTTTTGTTGGGCTTTGGACAGTGCAAACGTTCTGCGTTGTTGTGGACGTAGAAAGGACCAAGGACCGAGGCAAGGAGGGGATGAGAAAGGAAGAAGCCAAGAGAAGTTGAGAAATGGCTAGTGGAAGATAGGAAGAAGGAGCAATTCCGCTGCATCAATACCAAACCATATATGCAAGATTTTGCAATATGTTCCTTCTGAGGGCCTTCCTGTTTGAGAGGTTTTGTCACAGGGGCAGAGTCGAAGGAGGGTGGAACTAACAAGTTTGTGCAGTTTGCCATGTTACTAACCTGGTTCCTGCAGTCTACTACTCTCCGCATGAACTTCCCTTTCCCCACAAGGTCAGCCCAAGTGTCCTCCCAGGCAGATCTACCACATCGTGATTCTTCCCCTTCTTTGTTGATTCCTTTTCCTCTCCAATTTGGGCTTCACCAGCTCCACACTTCAATTTGCACCATTGGATGTTGGTTGGTCTCTTTGGGAGGTGTCTTGTTCCTCTCCCTTCTTCAACCTCCCAGTTCGGTCCATCCGCCCAGTCGAGGCATTGGTGCCAAGCGGAATCTGGCCACACGCAGCACAGATGCAGAGGTGTCCCGTGGAGGGTGGAGAGAGCGAAGACCTGGAGCGTTCTCGGTGCTCCAAAGCTGGAGCTCAAAGCCAAAGTGCAGCAAAGACGGAGCATTTTCTCACGCGTACCACCTTCTCACGGTCACTTAGGTCTTCCAAGTGTTGGAAGTAGCACGATGTTTGAAACCACAGCCCCACCACCCCCTAAGGCAGAGTGAGTTGCTTTGTTGCAAGCTGCAGGTATATATGTATTTGGTGAAGACCTTTCCCGCACAAGTACATGTTGCGGACTTAGTCCGGTCTTGGGACACCGCCTCTAGGGGGTGTAACGCTATGTCATTCAACAGGCCCCGCTGCCATGCTGAAGCGGATTGGACAGCTCGGACGCAGCCTCAGGTGATTTGCATTTGGGACGATGACGATGCCTCTCGACCTCCATTGGGTGGATCCTTATATGGGCTTTGAATTTGACTGCTGGGTGGGTCGTGCAATGGGTGGGACGCTCTTCTCAAGGACCACATGAAGTGTTGGAAGAAGTCGCGTCCTGGTTGCAGCAGAGTCTCCAAGCCAACCATACCCTTTCAAGAAGCAAGGTGGAGAGGCAGCCGTCGGCCTGGTAACGGAGCAACATCGTGTGAATTCATATATATATATATATATCACATACCCGCCGAGTTCTTCCGGGATATTTCGGACATTTTGAACTGCATGGTGTGGACCTATTTATATAATTGCTTTCTACATGACATTGCAAACCAGAAAACGCCGTGTTACGTGTTCGGCTTTGGATTGAACCGCCTAAATCAACTTGTCTGTGATTGTCGATGTACAGTTTTTTGTTCATGTTACATTGTGTGGATGGACCTGATTTAAAACGATGTGTCCCAAACCGTTTGACCCGTTAGACTTGTTTGAACACATCCGTTTGCGCCATCAAACAGCAATCGTTTGACTTGTGTTTTGTCACGTTGTCAATTTGTCACGTAGAGCTTATCAACACATATGTAACCTGGATGGTTCTGTCATGTTCAGCAAACAGGAGATGGAAAGGGCATATAAAGGTCCATGTTGCACTAGCGAGTTGATCTGCTGTAATATGCATTGTATGTTTGTAGTGAAAGAAGTCTTTGGTGGAGAACATGTTAAATATAGTCATACAATGCTATCTTTAGCCAAGAATGTATATATTTAGAACCTACTTCTCACAGTAAAAGTCAGGGTGCGTCGGAAATGGAGGTAATGTGGCACGATACTGGTGATAACATCAAATCTCACTAAGAGGCCACTGGAAATACATGGTGATCGAAAGAAATCTAAACATGGTATGCAGCAGCACATGTCCATTTTCCCTGCTGTGATGAATCAATGATTCACATCAACACTTGCAGGTAATATATCATTTTGCCCAATTGTACGCAAAAAAGAACAACACAATGGAACCGTTGAAGTGCGTATGCAAGTGTCTTGCTGTGCAATCTTGACACTTCAAACTAAAACCCAATTAGAGGGCAACATGGAGCACATATTCTTTGAAGACCCGTCTCGATGGCCTCCAACCTAAGAGCGATGGCCTCAATTTGTGTCCCAGCCCTTTGAAGTTCTGTCTTAAGGTCTTCACAATGGACCGCATCCGAAAGCAGGTGGAACATCTTCGAGGTCGGGATGTCAACGTTCGCTCCGCTGTGTCTGGGACTCGAGTGCGATATGGTTCCATTGTTCTTGAAGGGTAAGATAGAACAGGGACAATACCATCTTTCTTGCTGCAAATTCTGGTTGTGCGATTTTCAGACAGGTGGTGATACCTGGTGTGGCATTCGCATCATTTCAGGCAGATGGCAGAAGTATCCGGCCTAGAAAAAACGATGAGTTGCTCAATTGTTTCTAAGATGTTTCAAGTGAAATGCATGTGTTTTGGCACTTCCAACTACACACTTGAAGGTCCGAGACCGCGGTGAATCCATTGATCGCCTTCACCGGAAGTGCAGAAGCCCAGAAGCCAACCGGACTCTTCATACACTCTGACGAACACCTCACATGGTCAGAACACGGTGCAGTGGATGGCATGGGTAGATGGCTTGTGCCCCCCGACAGATGACTTAGACAGATAGGGGTCCATATATTACCACCTACAGATAGGGGACTGTGCTATCTACTCTCAATCCACGAGAAATGTGGATGGCATGGGGACCTTCGACGACTTCCCTGGACTCCAGGAAACCATGTGAGTGCCACAACAAATCCCTTTTGTATGTGCATATGTAGTGGGCGATCCCATTTGTTTTGTAAAACCATGTGATGGGTTCGTTTGGTCTTTTGGTCATAGACCATTTTGGAAGACCGATGTGGAGTCCCCCCCTCCGCCAGACTCCTTGAGGGCGAACACTTCCCGGTGATTTCTACTTTATAAGGCTTGCCGCAAAAGGTCTTCGGCATTGATTTACCAGGAGTTCTATAGGGTATGCTTATAATATGTTCATAACTTTTCATATATAGATCATAGATCTTTATATACACTGTGGGTACCCTTCTGCGGCCCAGGAGCAGATGTGAACTGCTCGGGGATCGAGGTCGCCTCTTTCTACTCGGTGCCAGACCAGGTGCGGATGGGAGGGGCGTCCGGCAGCCTCCGTTTCTTGGATGTCCACAGGGGGCGGAACAACAGTTGAAACAGGTGCAAAGTGTTGCGGATTTCCTGTGGACGCCGGCTGCGCCCAGCCCGTGCTGCAAACATCATGCTGCGCCACAGAAGTACAGTATGGGGGATGAAACATGGCCAAAGGATCCCAAAGCCAGGCAGGATCAGTCTGCGGGATGGCAGACCCGTTTCCCATCCACGAAAGAACCCAGTTGGTTTTGGACGTCGAGGATCCGAACAACGGACGGCCCTCGTCGCCCACCGTGCGCCTTGAGGAGTTGACCGTGCGCCCCTTGGGGCTGCCGCCCATCGTCTTTGCCGCGAAGCTGGACTTGGGGATGTTCCGTCCCATGCAGGGCTGGACCTGGACGAAAAAAAGTGTACGGTATCCCAAGCAACGCATCCTGTTTGGGGTAGTGATTTCATGTGATTCCTGATGGAAGAGATGTTCAAGCCTGGAAGCGCCGACTCACCCCAGAAGGCAGGGCTCGCTCTTTGGGCTCGCCTTTCGTAGCCTTGGTGGAGACAACTTCAGGCAAAGTGATGGTCACCAGATTGAGTCGTTTATTTAAGTGAATATCCAAGAAGTGGTGCATGACAAACCCGGAAACAAGAAGGGTCCGAACGGTCGCGCCAAGGTGGGTTGCAGGGTGGTTGGAGGCCATCGCAAGTAGGTTGGAGGCCGTTGACGTCCCCAGGGTCTCCTGAACCCAGTGCCTCTCATCTGTCCAAACTAGCAACAGCCCCGGCATCTAAAAAGAACGCTATAGAGTTGCATCTAATTTAAGTGTCGGTCGACTTCATCCGAACACTGTCGTTGAATGAGCCATTCGAGCTCGTGAGTATTCGTGGGTTCATCTCTCCCGCGCGCGCCCCGACAGATGTGTGTGGGCGGAAAGAGTCTTTGAAAGAACAAAAGATGTAGAATAGTTGCTCAAACAACCAGAAACAAATGGATGTTTCCCCAAACAGCCAATTCCTATGTTGTTTTTTCTTCATGTGGACGTCGAGTCTGAAGATGGAACATTTGAAAGACGGTCAATGCCTTGGGCCTTTCGCCGGTTTTTCGGTTGTTTTTCCGAACATCCCGGTGTTTTGCCGAAACCATGCAATTTTGGATTCAGATGATGTTCAGATGACCCATTCCGTGCTCTTCGCTCGTTTCCCGACCGGCTTTCCTAAGGAGAACACTCTTTGCTTCACTCGCACCTGGTGGGAGAGCGGCTTGGTGTCATGTTCAAATGCACCGAACACCGAAAACCGTACAGACATCGACCCGATCAGCTCGGTTTCTCAGCACAGAATCCCGTGCTTCACTGGAGCGAGGTGGCCACTTCGGCTTCGGCGAGGCATGGGAGGCCAGCACCCGTGACGTTCCAGTGACTCCCAGTGACGTTCCGTCGTCGTTTCCCGTTCCAGGTGAAAGGGTTTTTAACGCGTTTTGCGATTGAAGCATCGTTGAAACCGGCAGAACATACTCATGCTCGTATTCAAAGACACACAAGGTGCTCGCTGCTAACACATGCCAACAAAAAGAAGCGCTCAAGTTGTATTGCCATTTGCAGATTAGCGGATGGTCGTGCAGAATGATTCCTGAAAACGGGCTGTTTCACGCCTCGCAACCTGAACGGTTCCGTTGAGCCATAGAGACCGAGTTCCACTACTCCTGCAAACACGTTTGGGATCATTCCAAGGGAAGTTTGGGTGGACATGATCATATTTCTAGTTATCACCACAAGATGATCACTGCAGGTGAGGCCACGCTGAGAGCACAACAAGCCCTTGACATCGACATGTACGTAAGCCCTTGACATGTACGTTAGGTCCTTGAGAAAGCCGCACCTCCATCAGGCAGTGTTGCGTGCAAGCACCGTGTGTGAGTAGATGATCCCAACACAGGAACGAGTCTGGTTGAACCATTTCCATCGTTTTTTACAATAAAGGGAATCGAGTTCTGCAACTATCGCCTCCAGGCCGGGGGTTCCCAAGACATGGGTACGTCATGGTCCGTCTTTTTTTCATTTCAGATTCTGTTTGCATAAGAGGTGCTCTTGGATATCCCAACGTCATGCTTCAAAGCCCCCCTTGGGACAATAACTTAACCCCGATCGGGACAGAAGACGAGAACGCATCGGTTCCAAGGTCTGTCGTCGTACCGACGTACCACGTCCACCAAAGACCGCTTCTTTGGGCCAGGTCCCCTCCACGACTGTTGTCCCACCCACGAGCCCCGTGTGCTTTGGGGAGCATCATCCATATCGCTGTGTCCACCTGTCACAGGTTTGTCCAAAGATGATCACTAGTGATGTCAGCAACCCAAGAACATCATCCACTGGATCGGTAAGTCATGGCCATTCTTTTCCGGAGATACACAACAGAAGGCCATGGCCATGGCCATGACCGTACCCCAGGGCATCCAGGCAAAGCACGATGTCGCTGGTAACCAGCGGTTCCAAAGACAAGAACCATAGACCGGACCTAGAAACCCTGGTTCCTACCACTGGATAGTAAGTGGGATCCACTGGATACCATCCAGCGCTTCTTTAAGGACTCCAAAGGACCTGCCAGGACGAAGGAAGGACTCGGATCTTCTGCAGGTTTCGGGACAAGGCGAGGGCACCCTGGAGCCTTGGTGGGAGCAGGTGAAGACCTTGAGTGGAGCTGAGGAGTGCATGTGGAAAAAGCATAGCAACATGTGAAGTGGATCAGGTGGTTGTTCTCGACAGGCAAAGGGAAGCGCGAAATGAGGCTGTCCTCCTTGGAAACACAAGGTGTTTATATATAATATATATATATATTATATATATTATATAGGTCTTGAGATAAAAAGACATGTTACGTTGGCATGGTAGCACCCATCTGGTGTGAGAGGTTTGTTGCTGATTGGGGTGACCAATTTGACTGAATCCCGGCCTCTTTTTTGTGCCAAGTACTTGGCATCGAAATGTGATGGTGATGGATCTTGGAATCAAGTTGAATCAGGTGAATAATTCCAGGTCCTGTCAAAACTGGTCATCAGTCATATTATGCCATTGGTCACACATGGAAATGCAAAGGATGCCAACCTAGGCTGCGGATCTTGCAAAAATTTAATCGAACAGAAGGGTTCTTGTTTGAAACAAAACATTCTTAGCTTCCTCTTTCTCATTCCGAAAAACGCGCGTCTTTGCACCATCTTAGCGCGGCGGTCAGGAGCCCTTCTTGTACATCTACCTCCCGTCCTCTGCCTCGGGTGGCACAGCGCTCAACAAGAACCGCCAGCCGCCGCCCTGCAGCAAGCTCTTTGCCCTGGCGAGCGCTCTCAGCCACGGCAGGCAAGGAATGAACGATGCGAAGAACGGCAGGGCAAACTATATATAGTAGCGTCCTCTACCTATAGACCCCAAACACTACTTATTTGTCATGTCTGGAGCGAAACATCGCTTCTCCAGTGGCATTGGCAGTAAAAATCGTTTATCCTGGAAAAGACTCGTTTTTCCCGGAAACACCTCCAAATGGGAGCTGATTCGTGAAGAAGAATGGCTTGCCATGGCATGGCTTATGTCGTTTTTGATCTCAGACTTGTTTGGCTCATGGACTATTTTATACCACCAGCATGGGCCGGTGTCACCCCCAAACCCTCCTGAACTTGAGTCTTCTTGTTGAACATGTCCTTTTGAGCAGTGCCCGCGTATGGACCACTTGTAAAGAATGAGGGGTACGGTAGCAAATCCATGTTGAGTCAGTTGGTTGGTGCCCATGCGAACACAAAGCCCAGATTGTGCCCTTCAGCGTGTGATTTGGGTATCAATGTCTTGAAAGTGACACTCTCAGAAAAAATAGGTCTCCAAACATCTTGTGTTGTGCGCAGGTTGTCGAACGGACTTTAATGACAAGAAGCCCTCCCAACCATGCAAATTTTCAGGTTCCCGTGGGGAACCCGTCTATAAGCGTGGGGAACCCGTCTATACCCGTGGGTCATACTGAAGAAACCGTTTTTTTCAAAAAAATACGTTTTTCCTAACCCGTGGGGAACCCGTAAAAAACTCGTCGTAACCCGTAGGGAACCCGTAAAAAAATATGGGTTCCGGAGTATGCCATTTGAAGGTGTCCATGAGGAGAATTTATCACTCCCATGTGATGCCGGCAACGTGCCAATTCGGATTGATCTTGAAGCACTTCAGTTTCTAGGGGTGAAAGAAAAAGAAACATGCTTTTTGTAGACTGCTTTCAGACCACAAACACACAGTTGTTCTTTCTTTCGGCACATGTGTTCATCTGAAACCTGGCATCGCTCCTTCAGAAATCAGAAAGGATCGCAGGACTCTGAAGTAGCTTTGCTTGGTGCCATGTCTAAGATGTCCATAATGACAAGTTCCCATGTTTGGAGGAAGGTGGGCACATCAAGATATGAATAGCAAAGTTGAGAGGAATAAAAAGGGGATGATGTGTGCGTTTGCCTGGCCATGTACTTCAGACAGCATGCCCTCAAAATGCACAAAATCAAGAAAACCGTTTTTCCTCAAGAAACATCGTTTATTTTTTAGAACTGTCAGTTTTTAAGGTTCTGGGGTCTTATGGTAGCTCCTAGAAGCGATGCCCAACCTTTCTTCCTAGTAGTAATGCAAGAAGCTTCTTGCTACTAAATGGCGTCCGCTTCTTTCGGTGAAGCAGAGTGAAACTGTCCAAGTATGGCTGGTGACCGCTTGTTTGGGGGACTAACTTTTAAATGGTTTGGATTTGACATGCTCTCCAGAACATTCAAACAGCACAAAGAGCACAACATCCAACATCTAACTGCGGGCTTTCGCATTTGGCGCGAAACCGAAACTGGCACCCTCTCGTCCCTTACTGGCCCTGTCGGTTGATTTCAACAAAAGCTTGGGGCATACAGAAGGATAGTAGGTTTAAAGTGTGATTTGAGCGGCAGGCATGGCTCCAGATGATCAATTCTCACTTGCGAAGGTTGACACAGTGACTGTAGTTAGATGAATCGATTTTTCCTGAGTCCGTTGGTCGGGCAGGACACGTTTTCGTGGCCCATTCGCTCTCCCGTTTGCTTCCTGTCCCTCCGCTGCAGGTTCCCCGAGCTGCCTGGCCCACATGTCTCAAGCGCCCTGAGCTGTGCGCGTGCTGAAGTGCAGGAACTCCTGTCAATACCCAAGTGCCATGGCGTCCGGATGGGCTGGGCTGGGCGTGCGTGGTTTTCCTGGCGTGCAAGAGTGGGGTTGTACGTTTTGAAACACATGAAGCAAAATGAAGCCACCGCGTTTGATCACCATGTGTTTTTTTGTGTGTTTCATGTGTTTGAGAACCCACCCACAGAGGATCAAACAGGACAGGAGTGAGTTTATTTTCACATATTTTCCCAAAGAATTGGTTTCAGATGGCCACGGTCCTCCCTTTCTAGGAGCGATCGGACGCTACTAGGGGCTCCTTGCCTTACTACTAGGAACAAGGACGCTACGAACGGAGCTCCTTAGAAGACAGGCCAGGCCACCATTCTTCCGAAGCGAAAGAACATGATCGAACGAAAACCGCACAGTACAGGTCGTTGACAGATCCATCCATGAACCTAAAAGCGATGACCTAGTAGCGATGGCCTCCAACCTTTGATATACATCAACCATCATTTGTCAACCATCAATCCACATCACACTCCACCAGACCACTGAAGTTGATCGGATGTATAGCTGTGGTTTTGCGTTCGTCGATCCACTGACCTGCGAGAAATGACAGGACTGGCACCATGTCATTTTACCAGCAGAACGCATTTGTTTAGTGAAAACTGTAAGGACGACGCGACAGCGAACGAACCACTACGCTCCACTCGAAACACAACACGCTCGCAATCAAAGTTCTCCGTGACCGTGTGACGTACCTGTATAACCTGGCTGCAGCTCCTTTGCATCGTTGCGGTTTCACAGAGTTTCTCACTGCGGTGATCTGGCGTCTGTGCCGTTGGGGTGGGGCGTCACAGGCCTGCAAACAAGAGCGAACGAAGGGATTTGAAGGTCACATCGACAACACAAGAGGAAGCAGCACGATTCCTATGGCATATGGGTTGGTCAAGCACTTGGTCAAGACCTCCGTCGTCATTCGGTGACCTCCAAGCACTGCGTATATTTTTTTTGTGTATCCTTCGTTCGCTGACGGTGTTTGTGCCTTCCCCCCCCCCTCTCCCCTGCACTGAGGTTCTTGGACGAGCCATCAGTGATCGCTGCGGACCCTTTGGCACGATTCGCTGCGAGAGATCGGCACGGCGGTTGGTTCAAAGGCCTCGACATCAAACGGCTAAACATGGCGAACCACTGCTCAACCAATTGGCTGATTGATCCTAGTCGCTTCCCCAGTCCCTATGTGTCATGTCCCCATCTTGGAGCCAGCAAGTCCAAGTAGACTGGTCCAAGACATCCAAGAGACGCAAACATCCAGTTTCTACATGTTTCTACCATGATATCAAGACGCCCATGAGCAAGTATAGTCGGACCCATGAGAAATACATGTCGCGCCAAAACATTGGTTGTTAAGTTGGGGAACACCCCCAACACAAAGGCTGCGATATTGCTTTGCATGCAGCTTTGCGAAACAAAACAACGTGGCAAAGAGGTGCACGCTAAGTTGCAAGTGCCAAAAGACCCTCCAAAAGGTCCGGTCCGACACAAAACCCCGGTTCGAACATCGAAAATTCGAGGCCGACTGCAGTAAGCCAGGGCTTCAGGCCGACAGCATGTTTCACATCTGAATACAATTCATGCATATTAGACCATGTGAATTCTCAGAGAAACACCACATCTCTATGGAACCTGTAGATCGTTTGGTTCTGATGTTGCTTCTTCGTCCCGTCCGCCCCTCGCGCCCGACCCTCGCGCTGAGGCGGGCATTCAGCGTCGCAGCGTCGCGGAGCGCCAGCGGGTGCAGCTCACGGCCGACTTCCCGTCTGACCCGGCGCTGGCGGCCCGGTCTTCAGTGGCACGGCACGTGTCGCATGGTGAGAAGAGGGGGGGGTCCGAAGGTGGGAAGAGTTGAAGGAAAGGAGGGGGAGTCCATTGATTCTATACAGCTGTATACAGGTATTTCTGTTGCTTTTGTGCCTTGTGTGCATATATATATATATATGAGTCTATGAAGGACAGGGTCCCGATCCCAATTCTACCTAGCAAGCCGACCAACACCTGCTTCAAGCAATTGAGCAGAATTTTTCAAGAGAAAGTGAAGGTGTCTCAATTATTCTCATCTATATAATTGAATCGAAACCTATATAAACTAAATATAGAATCTCTAACCAAGTGGGAACCTTTTGTGGCAGGGTTCTCCCACCTTTGGAACCCAAAGGCCTGCCTGCCTGCCTGCCTGAAAGCAGGTGGTCCACGTTGGAAAGTGCTCCCCTTGCCACGTCTGGCTGGCTTTTGGTGGATCGCAAGGACCCCAGAGGAATCCGGACGAAGCTTAGCACGTCGCCTGAACTGAGAGAGGAAGCCGATGCTGATCACCAACATCCTCGAAGCGAATGGATTTGGTCCGATTCGGATTGAATTTGGATGGCTTTTTCGGATCCAGTAGCTGTCACTTGAGTTTCAACTATTCCAAGCTTGCTCGGGGACGTCTCGAAGTAGTGGAAGGCAAACGACGAGTCTTGACAAGTCAGTAGAAGTGCCTCAAGACCTCAAAAGAGCAGATTCTTCCCGATGTAGGTCTTGTTTGATTGCCAGTGATACATTTGGATCCACATTGTGGTAGAGGAGCACATCAGTTGGACACGAGTAGGACCCGGAGGCACTGGAATTGGTTGTTTGTGGAAGCCAATCTCCCACTACGAAGGACCTTTCTTGGCAAATGCCTTGCAGTTGGAACCCCAATAAGATCCAATAAGACTATATAGACAATTGCAATGAATTAATATAAGACCGTTTGTGATAGCAAGCAGCTGAACACTTATATATATATATATATATACGGTCTTATACATCAGTGGAAGACTCCATCGAAATCAATGGTAACACCGTCCATTTTGTTTTACGTGACAGCATCCGCACGAAAGGGAAAACTGGATGCTTGAGGCCCGCCACTCCGGCTCCATCCAAGCTTTCTGACGGCTGAGGAGGCGACCCAGTTTGGGGCTCCGTGTCGGACATGTACTTGAAAAGGGTGACCCCCCAGTATCCCCGAACCCCTGGGTTTGGGCTCGCGTATTTTTCTGAAACCCGAGCCCAAGGGGATCGGAACGGAATTCGGAATTCGGGTCGGTCTCGTGGTGTTTTGGAGCTACACACACATGTACGTTTACCTTGTAGAGCCAAGGCGCCTCTCTTTGTTTCTTTTTTCCCCCAGATAGCAATCACATGCGATAGCTTATCATATAGGGGTTCTTACTTCTCACTGGGTGGGTGCCTGTATTCCGTTTTGGTTTGCCGCTGCTGTGTGCGGCTGCTGTGCCTCTGCTGTGCTGCTGCTGCCTTGTCTCCCCACTTGTCGAGACCGGGCTCGCTGGGCTAAGAGGAAAAGATGTGCTTCCGTTTGAGCTAGTTGCTATCTGGGGTCTATGCTGGGGTAATTTCAGAATCCTACCCCAAACACATCCAGAAACCATCAACAATTCCATCGAATTCCGAATTCCCCAAGCTCAGCCACCCAGTTCCAACCGCCACCGAAACGCAGGCGGCGGAGCTCCAAGCCGCCGTGCGCCTCGACGCCTTCGGCGTCCGCGACCGCGGCGGCTTCGCGCCGACCGCGGCGGCGGAGCGGCTGCGGTACAGGGCGGCGGAGGCGCTAGGCGTGGAGGCCACGGCGTAGATTTCTGGTGTTCGGTTCAGTTTGGAAAATGGAAAGACTTGTATAAGATAGATCAAGTGACCACATATTCATTACAAAAGGAAAGATACAAATTCTGGGCTGGAGGCTGAATGAAACTTGGCTGCCCCATTTTTTTCAGGCATCATGTTCCCCAGACAATACAGAGAATGTTTAAAGTTTATTTGACCCATTTATCCCAACTGATTACCAACTCACTCGCTCTTTGGTGGTGCCCCACGGGATGCCGTGTGGAGTGCCGTGTGGACCGTGTCAGGTCTCTCATTTAGAGCCTCTGCGTGCAGTGCGCTATGGCCGCCCAGAGCAGTGCTTTGAACCGTGAAGCCTGGCATGTTTGGACACTGATCGATGAAGCCGGTTCCGGTTCCAGGAATTGTTACATGTGGATATTGTATGAGTTTGCATCATATCCTCACATATATCAGTCTAGCACAAGATTACATGCCTTTCAAAAGTTTCGCCCATTTGTCCAAGATGCAGCCATCGCCACGCCAGGCACGTGGATTGGATTGCTGATCCCTCCGACGAGCAGTTGCTGGAGCTTGGGCAGCGGGTGGCATCACTGCTGGTCTTTTTGTCCACCCTGCCAGAAGGCCACTGCTCCGGGCCTTTACAGGGCGGCAGGTTCTGGAAAAGAAGGGAAGGCGTCTTACACGGATGAACTGTGGGGGATGAGAGTTACAATTCTTGGATACACCATGCAACATCCTTCATGTATCGCATCTATGGGACACGTGCTTGCAAACAACATCCTGCTGTTTCCGTGCATCGTTTCAACAGATTTGGACCTTTCTACCCAGAGATCTATGAACCGAGTTATGAACCGCAGGTATGAACCAAGATAGCATCCTTTCAGACCGATATGAACCGCCACAGGGCCGGACACCCCCGGTGACCGCCCCCCCGGTGAGGCCGTGGGCAGACCGACTTCCCGGCCCTCGGCGTGTCCGTGACGCCCCAGACGGGTGCCGCGCGCCCGGGACGGAAGAGCGCGAGCGGCCGGAAGAGCGGCCCATGTTCCTAGTAGTAAGGCCCTTCTGTCCGTTCGTAGCGTCCTTTCTTACTAGTAGTAAGGCCAGGAGCTCCGTTCATAGCGTCCTTGCCACTAGTAGCGATGCCCTTTGTTAGTTGTGTCCTTGCTCCTAGTAAGGCCCTTTGCTCCTAGTAGCGAGGACCGTTCTTCCGAGAGGTCACGGAAGTTGTCTCACGCCGTTGGGCGATAGGAGTCAAAGGAAACCACTGTGAGGAAAGATGAATTATAACGTTGCTTTTTCATGGGTTTTGCCTGAAAGTGTATTGTTTTTTTTCAGCATCCAATTCTTACCCTGAAACCTGAGGTTGACTGTCAAGGTTGCAGCAAACTGTATCCCCAGAATTGTTAGTGTTCTTGCTACTTGTGGGCACCTTCCATGGATCAGTCTTGGTTCTAAGAAAAAGCTTGGCCAGTGGAGACCGAATCAAGCCAAGACAAACCAAGACGACCAATGGCCAAGGCTCTTGTGGCCCAACATGGACATGAATGGCCAGCCCTTGCCAGAGATGAGCCTTGGCCTTGCGGCGAGACCAACCACTAAAAACAAACATATATATATATATATACACAACACAATGGTCAATATATATATATACATACACAACTTAACAACCCAACAAATTAACTGACAATGATTAAACGCATACAAAGCCACATGTTTTGTACCGTTGTCTTGATTTCGATACATAGATTGCTATGACATACCTCTTAGTATATAAGTACAAAAAAGCTAAATTTTTTCAAACATATACGGATACTCAGTGATCGGGCTACAGGACACAAGAGTGGTTTCACCACCGGGTGAGGCAGCTGATCCCAACACGTTTTTGTGAAACATCGCAGCCGATTCAAGGATTCACGAGGCCAAACCCTTGGAAGAAGAGGGCCTCGAAAAGATTGCGCTGAATGCCGCAAGTTGGCACTGGTGTGGGGAGGTGCCCGTTGGTTGGTCTGTGCGGTTGTTACCTCCCGGACACTCTATGAGCAATTGATTAACATTATATTATACTATATTTATGTATGTGTTAATATTGTTTATCTATTTTTTTGGGTCTTCTTTTCAGCTCCCCAAACATCAATTCCAAAATGGTCACGGAAGATTGTGTTCCACCAGACAACGTGTGTTGGAGATGTCTTTGTCATCAACAGAGTGTGGACCTGACAGGCAATCAGATGACAACGGGTTTTTGGGCAAAAGATATCTGAGGATAGGGAGGCAGTGATGGCATTTGGACCTAACTGATATAACGTCTTTTTGAGGGAGAAGGATCGAATGTTATTTTCGACCAATCACCAAATAACCCGACGAAAGGCCTGGCACGCAGGCTTTTCAACCAATCCCGCAGACACATCCTGTCTGTCCCATTACTGTATGGATGATGCTGCAGATGGGAGGTGATGTGGTTTTGGATGTGCGTACACATGTCAGAACATATGCAGCTAGAAATGTTTGAGTACTGAGCGAAGGATAGTTTGCCAGTGCAATCCACAACATATGTCAGTACAATATATGCCAGTCAGTTCATATATTCATGTCAGGCAGTATAATAGGTCATGTGTCAGGATAGTCTCCCTCTTCCCAATCACTTCTCAGGGTGGGCATCACTGGAAGCAAGTCATTTGTTCAAAAAGTAGAGCCCCGTTTGTAGCGTCCGATCGCTCCGTTCGTAGCATTCGCTGCACTGGAAACACCACTCGGTTCGCGCCTTCGGACACGTCGTTCGGTTTGCGTCCGGGACTCAAGGGGGGAGGGTTCGATTTCTGCAGGGGTTGATCCCCATTTGGCCACCGGCAGTGAACCCGTATTTCTGGAACCCATTCCGGTGCCACGTCCCCAACGGCCACAGAGTTTTGGGATCCAAGGTTTGGGTGCGTGACCGGCCGTTGCCCACGGATCCAGCCATCTTGGAGACCTTGTTTCAGTCGTGAAAAGGAAGGCGCTGGGCGCTGTCAGCTTGCTCAGCTAGCGCTCCGCCGCGTAGGGATGCGGAGAAAGCGTTCTGATTGCGGGGTGAAACGGTCCATGCCCATCAAACAAACACATATGCAAAACATGGCAAAACCATGTAACCTTGCCGTCCAGTTCTCCGACTTGGTCCCTTTCCCGCGAAGTGGAGCCATGTGTGTCACTGTGTCAGCAGCATCTCGACCGACGTCAGGATCTATGCGACCGATTCCAACTGGACAGCTATCTACAGCCGCACCCCAGAGAGTGTTCAAGAATTTTGATGCAAGACACGACTAAAGTTTAATAATCTTAATAATCAATGGTTTACAGGCTGTGACTGCCCCCGGGTCTCACACCACTAAACACTGAACGAGCAAAAGATAGCAATCATTCAGCACAGGCGAGAAAGATGAACGGAGGTGTCCTTCTATGGTAAGAGTACTGACTTGATGTTTGCGCACAAGTTCAAACCCTACCTTGTCGGCACCTTCAATTTAAAGGAGGGTTTTTAGTTGGCCAGTTTGAATTGTATGGGGTCCAAAGCCTTTGTTGGTGACCGTGCTTCCTTCAGCAGAATGGCCTTAGCCATTAATCTGCAACGCTCACGGCCCCACTGTCTCCCCTGAGAAAGGAAAGTAGCAGCCAAATCACTCGGTGTTATTCAGCAAGATGTTTTTGACTCAACCCCTGCCACAGGCCGTTATCAGTCTTCATGTATGGATCGGATATCCATGTTTGAGCTTTGTCTGATCAAACAACCAACAATTATAGACAGATAGATCACAGACAAGATAAGACAATCATACCTTAGTAGGTGTATTTCATCCAGCAACACGAACTGATTTAGACCTGGACCTTTTTTCAGCTTTAAATCCCTCCCAGCCTCACTGCCGTCTCCGAGGGGGAAGCTCTTGGAAGCGCTGGGCAAACGATCCGAGACCTTCACGCAGGATCTCTCCTCCTTGAAGCAGGCAGGCGACTGTGGACGAGGGTCGTTGTTTTTTTTTGGTTCGGCGTTTTCACGTGTTTTCCTTCACCATGGAACAGGCGGTTCACAGGCCCATCAACTGAGATGGTTTATAATCCCCTTATCCATCCTTGTTATCCCCCACAGGCTGACACATTGATTTAAGACATTATCCATGATCGATATCGCAGCAGGGCCTGCAGCTAAAGTGTGGAAAGACAGACTTCGGGACTTGCCAATTCTGGACTTGGCAAGACCGCCCGTCTAAGTATCAGTCTAGTAGAACTGTCTGACCAGTTGTTACTCCTATGGCAGGATGGAGCAACCCGAAAGCTCTCCTCTTTCTTTAAGAACATTTTTTGTGTACTAGGAACGAGAAGCTACTAATTAGTAACAAAGGGCATCGCTACTAGGAGCAAGGACGCTACTAGGGGCTCCTGGCCTTACTACTCTTACTACTAGGAGCAAGAAGCTATTAGGTCCAGTCTGTCCGCCTGTCCCAAGTCCCACGTGATGAAATCCATCCCAGCTCGGTCCAGTCTCGATCTGCCCAGACCCTCGAGTCCGCGCGGAATCCGCCTGGGTGCGGCACCTCAAAGCACGCAGCACCGGTGCTCTCCCCGCGCGTTCGGACGGCCGCAGGAGCTCTCCCCCAAGTCCGCGAGCTCCGGTCCACCGACGGAGGGCCTTCGCGGTGACGCGTGTGACGCTCTGAGGCTCCTGAAGGTGAAGCTCAGGGAGATGGAAGACGGGACCTTTGTGGCCAAGGGTGAGAAGGCATCCACCGGGTAGTCCCGCGCGCGCGCGAGAGAGAGAGTTCTACTCAGCCCCGAGCCGAGCTCGACCGAGACCCCGGGTCGACAAGAAGAAGCGACGGACCACCGGACCAACCGGGTCTCCAACGAAGCACGAGAGAGTCGATGGTGCTTCACCCCCCTCGGGGGTCGGTTCGAAAGGAAGGTTTGAAGAACTCCACACGACGCAGAGATTTGTAGTCAGCTCATGCGGCGCCGGAGTGTTTTCTGCATGTTCAACTGACGAAAGGATGCTGAAAACAGCCTCATGCAGCTCCCAAACGACCAGCGACGACCAGCGCAGGGGAAGGGGAAGGCCAGGGACTCAGTGCAATCTGCATCAGGGAGGGAAGATTCCAAACAAAGTGATAGTTTGGTGATGTTTGGTGCAGCTGGGGAAGAAATTCGACAGAGTTTGGAGTGCAGGCGTATTGTGTTTGCTGATATTTGCTGACGGTGGCTTAGTCTTACTGCCAGTTATGCTAGTTCTTGAGCCATAGAATCTCATCATTGAAAACTGCCGAAGGAGCTCCTGGTTTAACTAGCTGGACCTCCTAGCAGGTTGTAACGATTGCCGCACCCAGCTCGGAGGGACCTGTTGTTGGTGCAAGCGTTCCCATGGTCCGTGAATGGAAAGCCGAAAGCCATAGTGACAGGGTTCACAAGGCCTTTTGGGAGCAGATCAAGGAAGTGGAGCCGATCCCAAGTTGGATCCTCCAAAGAAAGCTTCTTGTTGCCATAAGAGCAAAGGGCTTGAGGATGACAGGCTTCGTCTGCAGGTCGAACAATCGACCGGTCGATGCTCCTCAGAGCTTGGTTCGGTCTTCACGGTCTTCTCTTCCTGAAAACAGGATGCATCATGATGCATCTTCATCCTTTCAGGCAGTCCTTTGAACAAAACATTGAATTGGATCATTCGAAGGTTTTTCGCCTTGTGCAAGCACCGGTTTCGACCCGGCCTCAGGGCTTTGGAGGCAGACGGACCGGTTTCGCGGGAACGAGACCCGGTCCGGTGGGTCAGTGAACTGTGAGACCAACGAAGTGGCCGACTTGGTGGGTTCAAGGTCCCCGACTTGTGGCTAGTAGTGACAAGAAGCTAGTAGTAACAAGTGCCACGCTAGTAGTAACAGGTGCCTTACTAGTAGTAACAAGAAGCTAGTAGTAACACGTGTTCAGATATGAGTGTCCCTGACAGTGGCCAGTTTTGGAGGCCAACCTGCACCCTGCACCCCTGTGGGGCTGGATGAACCAATCAAGCCCTTTTCAAGCCCTTTACGTGAGACGTTGAGCTTTTTGAGCTATGACACATGAACAGACACTGGCATGAGCTTTTGTTGAAAAAAGACAAGGCAGAGAAGAGAGGTCAGCTTGCCAGTACTGACAAGGAAGTTGTCTGGAACAGATGAGACACATCATGTAGGGATGAGATGTGGGGAGAGACACACGTGCAGTTCAGTTCTCTTTAAAGTAAGTATTGTTGTTGTCTTCAATCTCTCTATCTATCTCTATCTACAGTATCTCTCATGTGGCATAGATTCATGCTTTAGTCATGGTCAAAGGATTGTCCTGAGTTCCTATTTGTGTGCAAGCACCCTGCAACAGAATTCCGGAGGTGTTGAAGTTGCAATGTTGCTCCACTTGGACGGGCCCGGTCACTTGTTTCTTTTGGATTCTTTTGGGCCAGGAAAAGGCAAAGATGGAGGAAAGGATGGCAAGGACGGTGGCAAAGGGGGCAAAGGCCCCGTGGTGCTTCACACGCGCAGCTCCCGCGAGCCAATCCGTCGACGGTCGCACAACGACGACGGGACGCACAGCTCTGAGTTGTTGGACGCACAGCCGAAGGGCATGAAGCCCAAACATATTCAATCCATTGGGTGGCTCCATTCACACCAAATCCTGAAGCTGAAACTCGAGGGTTTGGGCGGTTGGGATCAACATGGATCAACTTTTCCATAGATCGTTTTTGTTTTTTTCCCAGCGAGCATCCAGGGTTGAAACCCACCATTGACAATGACATGACTCCTCTTTCACTTCACTCTTTGCACATCGTGTTACTTATCTCAAACTGCGAACAGGGGGCGCTTTTGTACCTGTTCATTTACGTGTCTTTGATGTGGTTTACTTCTCAAAAGAGAGTATACACTCCTTCAGTACACTCCTTCCACTTCACAGAGGTTTCTTCTTATACATCCTTTGCTTTTGGGGGGGACATCCACGGCCGGGACGTGAACCACCCGGTCCAAGAGTTCGGCGAACGATGCCGCGCCTTAGCGGGCGGATTGTTTTGTCACAATGTCACAGATTGTAAGGATGCAAGAGTTGGGATATTAGTTTCTATTTCTGAAGGACAAGAGTTTGGATGTTACATGATATTACTAAGGATTACTAAGGATGTTGGGAGATTAATTCTGAAGGGAATAGGAGTTGGTCAATCAATACTACTTGTGGGGGGAAGGGTCTTGATTCATCTCATCCACTGGAGAAACCATGTCTCAGCCGGTCACCTATGTCTCAACGGGTTGGTTTCCACTTGGAGGATCGGTTCAGTGACGGATCGGACGGCGGCGTGACTGAAGGGGTCTGCCATTGAAGGTGTCTGGACGTCTGGGTGTTCTGCCAATCACCCCACCCGGAAGTGGACAACGAAAGATCCATTGAAGCTCATTTGGATGAAGCGTCCATTGGCGTGCCCTTTTTCAGTCATCTCGATGCTTTGCGCCGTGTGTTCGTTGAATAACACCTGCATTCATGCATTCATTCGTGCATTCATTCAGTCAGTCAGTCATTCAA